CTTTCCAAAGACTACTTTGTGAGTCACATATAGTTATTGTGCTAAGATGACAAAAACAAAGCATCACATGTGGAAGTCAGGTAAGGACCATTGCTTGATTTGGTTGTATAGAAACAGATACATGTATGGCCTCAAAAATATCCACCCCTTTGGAAAGAATATTGGATAAGAGGGAAAACAATTTATCCAGTTTAAAGCTCCAGTTTAAACCTCTCTGGATTCTGAAAGGATTCACTCACTATAAGGAATACCTTCAGCAGTGACTCTGCACTATGCCCAGCACCCACCTGTCTTCAGGTGGGTTGTCTTCACAACCCTCCACTCCCCATTATGCATGAAAAACAATTATTTCCCTAAGAAACAAAGACTTGGGACTGTAAGGACAAAGACATACATGCTACAGGCAAGCACAGAGCAATAAAGCCTAGAAAAATCTCCCTCCCCTTCCATACTCACATCACTTTCAAATCCCAGTCTCCACAGGTCACAAAAATCGACTTGACGCTGGGATCTAAGAGGCCTTCCTTCGCCATCCACTCATCAACCCTCTGAAAGGAAGGCAAGAAAAGGGGATGAGTTTTGCAGAGACAGGCCAAGCCACAACAGTTAAACTCAGATAAGCTGCTTGCAATCAAGAGAGAAGAAAATTGTGATCTTATCCACCCTCTCCCCGTCTCTCTTCTTTCTTTGCTTGCCATCTCAACAACAGCACGTTTGGACCTTTGAAGATTTCTGATAGGAGACATCAAGCAACCAGAGCAGAGATGATCTTATCAGACACCACAGCAGCTCTGCTTGTGGAGGGATGGAAGTTGTGCAGCATTAACGGGACGATACAACGGCACCGCTACCTGGCATTCCACCTCCACTTTTCCTCTCCCTGTGCCAAACAGGCTCATAGCGAGTGCAACTTGTGTTCCTCCAGTAAGGAGAACACACGGGCATCCTGGGATGGCATCCCTCACCTACAGCATTCTTCACATGCTCTGATTCACAAGGGGAGCTGAGAGAGGGGGAGAAATGGAAGGGCTGGGCACACAGGCACTGTGCAGCTGTAACAAGCAAAGCCATGTGTCCTCTTCCTCTTCTGAGGGATCTCTCTTTTCTTCTTAAAGTTCTGAGGAGATGCTTGCTCAGGGCATACTGTGCATTTAAAGTGAATCCACTATTCCTATCCATAGGGACAGAGGTTCTGGATCCACTTCAGAAACTTGTCATGTTAATCTTGAGGCAGCACATCCACCTTGGGGATTAACCAAGAGGAACTGACCTAGACTAAAACCCTTGCATAGACACTTATTCCAGCTAGAACTAGGAAATGATGTGCCCAAAAATCTTCCGGTGGCAGGTGACAGGCAGTCAGCTGCAATTATGCAGCCTCACTAGCAGCAAGAGAGATCCCTCCTCTTTTCCCTCAGTTGACACCTTCTGCTCCTGAATAAACTTGCATGTCCCAGAAGCTGCCTGACCCAAATCCCATTTTCAACTAGAAACGTGCTGCTGTGTGAACACCTTTTCAGTCCAAATGGAAGAAATCTACAGAAGTGTTTCCACACTCTTAAGAAGCTTCTGTAGAAACAGAATGAATCATTTTCTGCAATTATCCAGCAGCAATGTACATTCACCCATCCAGGCCAAGAGGACTCTCCCTCCTGCAGCAGCCCACACAGGCACCTGTATGCTCACAGACACACTGCTGCTGTGTGCTCTCTGGAAAGCACCAAGGAGAGCTGGGGGTTTGCATGGATGCAAGGTGTCACATTCAAAGAGCACCATCTTTGGCCTCATCTCACTGCCACAGCCCTTCTGTGACCAATTGTAGTACAAGACCTCTCTGGACTAAAGCTCCCCCAAAAGCAGCAGCCAGCCTCTCTGCCACACTCCTGCCTTCCTCGGGCTGCCAGATCTTCCAGCCAGCCCTACAAGGTTCCCTGGAGCAAGGGACAGCAGCACTAACACCTTCTGAACTCCTTCATGTCAGTGCCTGTGAAGTGCTGTCTCCATGGAGGATTTTAAAGCTTTTAATTTTATTTCCTCAGATAAGCAATTGTTGCAATTATTCTGATTAGGAACAATTAGATAACACAGCAATGGAAATCCTGACAGAGACAATGCATCGAACACCAACCTGCAGCCCAAGCAGGCTCTGCTTGAGGAGGTTTCCTTCACTATTTGACTACCAACAAAAGCTATTGATGAAGAAATACTTGCAAGCTAATTAAGCCTTAAATGCTGTAGGAATTCAACATCTAGCAGATGGCATTATTAGGGCTATATCTGTATTTGCACGTCCTCCAAATTAGATTTTAGAGACATTTTCTTTCTATACTATGTGTACTATTAAGCATTTAAATAGGTAGAAAAACTTAATTTAATAAAGTGGTGAGGGAAGAGAAAGAAAAAGAAGGCAGAAAGTCCTGAAGCAGTGGTCTTAAGCACTGTCTTGGTGCTTTAGAACTGGTGCAAGCAGGAATCACCTCTTCTCCTATCTACTGGCAGGAGTTTGGATATCTTGTCAGCATCCTTGACATGAACAGCTGGAGATGACAGATCAATGGTTCAATACTCTCAGCAGTGTGTCACCAATGTGACAGCAAATGTTATTCTAATGAAGTTGTAATCATAGTCAAATTAAGCGGTTCAATTCTCAGCAAGGGGAGGGTGCAGGGAAAGATGAAGAGGGGACGACAGGACCAGAGGTCAGAGTTCAGGAACTAAAGGTTACTCTGCTTACCTCAAGCACTTGCTGGAGGCTCGGCTGTCCATCCACCATGCCTTGAATAATCCCAGTCAGCTGAAATGAGAGACAAACAGAATGCAGGCATCAGAGCAGCACTCAAAAGATCATTAGAGAGGTCTCCTCTCCTGTCCATCTCACTGCAACCCAAACATGCTCCTGTGACCCACTTGGACATGGCTGAGGAGGAGCCAACCACAGCAGAGTGACCCTGGCAGCTCCTCAGTCACAGCCAAGGGCATAGCTTTATCCCAAACAGAGATGTAGGGGGCCTCCTACCCGCACCAGAAAACAGCAAGCTCTCAGCAGGGCAGGATCCACTTGGAGAACAGTGGTGCCCTCTGCTTCGCATACCAGTGCAATGCCTAAACACTGCCCTTCTTCAAAAGGCATTTCACCAGTTTTGATGCTGCCTTGTCAAACAGGCAGTGACAACTACCATTCCCCTGCTATTGCAGTGACACCAACATTGCACAGTGTTAGATGAACAGAATAGATAACTGTGAGACCCAGAACAGACCCAGTCACCCACCACAGCACTGGGCAGCCAGCACACAAGCAAGGTCCATCCCAGCATCCCTTTGCATTATGAAATTGTATTTAAAACAATAGAATGAAATCTGAAGAAAAGCACTTTCTCCCAGAACCCTGGTTTACTCTGTTTTTCAACAGGTTCCTTAGGAACAGGTTCTGCCAACAGGCAGTCCTACTGACTGTGCCCAGACTGCTTGGCTGTTTAATGCTAGACACATGCATAAAGGAATCTGTCTCGTGGGCTTCTGCCTGTGTCTGCCCAGGATAGCTTGAGGCACATGGAAAACAGATAATTTTTCTGTCTGCCTTCCAACTGACAAAACTGTCTTTTAACATATTGAATATCGGAGGTCAGTAGCTTGCCATCAATGCACCCAAGTAATTAAAAAAATCATTATTAAAACAAGTGCACACTACAGGATTTCAGTTCATATGGCACTTTCCTGAAGCTACACATCTCACACGTTTTCATAAAATAAAGGTCAAACACAGCCTAGGAGCATGTCCTGCTGCCTGCACACACATCCAAGTCTCCAGAAGCCATAGGGTCCAGTTGAGAGGTGCTCACAGATCCCCACCACTCAGGAGTAAATCGTCCAACATAGTCCAGCTCAACCTACTCATGAAATGTAAGTCCTCGTCCAAACCACAGGGCTCTACTTTATTAAATGTGTGGCAACTGAAAGAAGCTCAATGGTTTCTACCTCTGTCTCTTTGGCTGCTTGGCTTACAGCACTGAATTCAGAGGAAAGGAAAAAAAAAAAAAAGGAGATTAAACTCCAATTAAACTGTAATTGCATTTAATGAATACCAAATACCTGACTCACTGAATAAGCTCTAAGTGGAAAGATTATTTTCTCATAGTTACTTCCATAGAATGGTAATATATACCTTTTAGGGAGAGAGTATTTTAATTTTAAGAATAGAGTTCCTCTAGGTGGGTTTCTCAAGTTCATCAAGCCATTATGAGATGGAATTTTAAGGAAGTGGAGGGACACAGTCTCTTTTATATTCCAGAAACTGTTTTTATATTAATCTGTATGTTAATTGTGTAACAGCTGCTTTCTACATACTTCCCATACTCTGAAAGGCAAATAGATTGGAAAGATTAATGCAAGACTCTTTAGAACAGCTTTTAAAGCTCCCTGGCTTGTTTTTTGCTTCTCTTGACTTATTTCTCTCCAGGCATCACCCTGGCAGAGTCTGACAGCTCACCTACTGACATGAGCTGGCTCTGCCTCTCAGAAGGCAGCTCAAATCAAACCTCTAGAAGCATCTGAAAAATGAGCTTCTGAGAAAGGATCATAGCATAGTTTGGGTTGGAAGGGATCCTTAAAGGTCATCTAGTCCAACAACCCTTCAGTGAGCAGGAACATCTTCAACCAGATCATGTTGCTCAGAGCACCAACATGAATTTGAATGTTTTCAGGGATGGGGCATCTATCACCTCCTCTCCGGGCAACCTGTAGCAGTGTTTCACCATCCTTGCTGTAAAAAATTTCTTCCTTATATTTAGCCTGAATCTACCACTTTTTAGTTGTAACCCATTATCCCTTGCCTGTCAAGAAGTCTGTCCCCATCCTTCTTCTAAGTCCCCTGTAAGTATTAAAAGGCTACAATAAGGTCTCCCTAGAGCCTTCTCTTCTCAAGGCTGAACAACTGCAAGTCTCTCAGCTTTTCCTCACAGGAGAGATGTTCCACCACGCTGACCATTTATGTGGCCCTCCAGTGGACTCACTCCAACAGGTCCATGTCTTTCCTTTACTAAGAATGACAGGCAACCTTTTGATATCATGGCCAGCACTGACATAAATGGTTTCTACCACTTCGGGCACCTTCAGCACTGCATCTGCTCAGTGCCACACACCCAACAGTCATGGGAAGACAGGGAAAAATGGCCTTATCCAGACATTTCCCACCAGGAGAATGGAGAAACAGGAAGGCAGATGCAGGGGTCTCACCAAAGAGTCACTGACTGATCCTGCCCAAGACTCCATCACCGCCAGGCCAAAGTACCAATTTATCCATACAAGAACATGCTGCCAAACACATGCATGCAAGAATCATGCTGCAGAAATTGCACACATTAATATAAAGGGATATACCTACTCCACGGGTACCTTTCAATGCAGGTCAGAGAGTGCTCAAAAGGGACCAGAATGTTACTTCCTCACCCTTTGTTATCAGTTACATCCATCTGTAACACCCAACCTACTGCATTGGGTCTCTGCAGCACTATCTGGTCTTGCAGTCTTGATAAAGCATAAAAACAAAACTGCACAATTGTAAAGTTTCACTGGTGATCCCAAGAACCACATGGTATTCAGGAACCTAAACAAGCGATAAGGCATTTATCTTTCTGTATTTTTAGTGTCTGCTCCTTCAGGAAAAATCAATAAAAATTAATCATAAAAAGAGAGCTATGCACCATGAAAAAGCCTGTACAAGCACCTTCTGTGTAGAGGGAATCTTTCACTTAAGCTGTTGGTATAAACTTTGCTTGGCATCAAAGAAACCACTTGCATCTTCTAAAGGGGCATAATGAGCTTTATATACTTAACAACAGCTTCTAACCACCTGCAAGCACTTTCCATCTTCTCTGTCTAGACATTCACCACACTCCTCACTACAACCAAGCACCATGACCTGTTGTTTTAAAAAAGCAGATGAAGAGGAAGGGGACCAGATGACAGCTACAGATTAAGCCAGCAGCAGCAGATGTGCTCCTGGTCACTGGTGTGGGGAGCTGGAGGAGAAAGCACAGACACACCAAAAGCTAAGCAAAGGAATGCCTTGAGGGTGACCACTTGCAAACACCTTTCCTGTGTTCTGTGGTCTTCTTCAAGACCACACTTCTCTTCAAGAAGGAAGAGAGATGTGAGAGGCACGCTAGACCCAAGGAGTAATGTTGAGCAAACCCAAAAATCCTCCCACATACAGTCTATAATAGGCAGTCGTACTGCTTCCCAGCAAAGGCAGTACGTGGAGGGGAAAGCAGCAGTACAGCAGACAGGCTTTCCTATAATGTCAACACCACCGCTTTTCCTACAGAGTTTATCTGGAAAACCATCGTATTTCTACTCCAAGACAGTCTGCTGATTACCTAAGCACTTGTCTCTGGTGCACAATCTGATAATCAGGCCTGGTCTTTCTTTGTAGACAAAAGAGGCCAATAAATCTCACCGTTTCTAAGTAGAGGTGCCTAGACAAAGCCCTTTACTGGCATTTAGCAAAATGGATATTTTTCAGAAAACATAAACCAGCAGAAAGTCAATGGCAAACGCTGGAGGTGTGCAGGTATCAGCTCCACAGGAGCTAAGACACACAGCACACCTTGGCCATGTCCCCAAGGTCTCAGGGGAACCCACACCAGGGGCACAGTGCTGACCCTGAGCCACCAACCCCACAGGTCTCTAAGCAGCCACTGCAGCCTCTGCAAAAAAGCAGCCGCAAATACAAACACATTTTTTGCAACTGTTAGTAAGTTCTCAGCACAAACAGCTCACCTGTGGCTCTCAGGGTGGGGTTTCAAAAGCAGCCCTAGACACAGGGTCCAGGGACAAGCTGTTACCCCAACTACATGATCCCACTCCCTGGACCTCACGGCAGCCCCTCCAACAGGTAGGGAGACCACCAAGCCAGCAGAGATAGGGGCCATGCTGTGCATGAGGGATTGCTGTGGAGCTGGCGGTTTCCAGGCTAGGATTAAAACCAGCTCCCTAACCCAGGCTGTTAATAACCAAGAACTTGCCAAACCTGGAGAATTAGACCATTTTGTGCCACTGATACACAGTGGTGGGTATTCTGCAAACATTTTGCCTGTTGGCCTCACAACTGCACATTTTTATCCACCCACAGACACAAGACACTAGACTGAAGTCAGCAAGAGAATCTGCAGTGCTGCAGCTGGGACTCCTGGCTGTCCTGAGGACTCCTGCAAACACACAGCTGGCACACACATGTGGCCTCACTTGCGCGAGGAGTCCACACAGGAGAGACAAACCTGCAGAAACACCATCTCCAGGCCTCCAAGAGCAAGAGAAGGAATAGAAATTGGTACCATGGGTTGGGAAAATTAGATATGCTGAATGGCTCAGTCACAAGCTCAGCATCCAGAGAAGCCCTCAACATGCTCAGGCTGCAGGCTCCATTCAGCCACACCACACAAGTCCTGTGGACTCTCAAGCAACAACTGAGCTGTAGCTTGTAGCAGCAGTGGGGGAGGACACAGCAAAGGAATTTTCAGAAAAAGGAATTTTGGTGGAAGTTAATGAGTGAGATGACTTCTCTCTAGAATTTAGATCACATACAAACCAGACATGTTGGGCTCCACTCTTGAAGAAGACATTGCTCTTAGCAAAGATGAGGTGCAAGCTGTGAGATTTATCACATTCGTACAAGCATATGTCCAGCAAGCCTCATGGGGATAAGGACAGCCAAAGTAGTTGCCCAGCTTTTTAGTATTAAGGTTGCAAAACTGTTTCCACTATAACCCTCTGCTGTTTTCACACATTTATAGCTTTCTGAAAGCCCTTCAGCTGGGAATAATGTTTTCTGTGCTCAGTCTTTTTTTTTTTTTTTTTTTTAAGCTTAAATAAAATAACTTCAGCTGTTTTTTAGGTATAAGAGAATGGGAAAAAAAAGAAGAAAAGTATTTGTTTTTACAAGGTGGAAATATGGAAGGGACTGGTTGGTTCTGGAGGGGACTGCACCTAAAATAGAGAAGTAATTTTTTCAGCAAGTTGGTACACACAGGATACATACTTCATGGACCCAGACCTGCAGCTACAGAGGTTGGGGAAAACACATCATGGTTTCAATGATCCTGGATGAGATCAGGACAGAATGAAGACCTCAGATGCCCTGATTCCCACAGTCAGTACTTTAGTCATTGATTGGCCAACATCAAAATAGTGGAGTAAATAGAATAAAGCTCAAAGTAACAGGAACTTAGAAACTTTGCATTGATGGCTACAGCGGGGAGGAAGAACATGCTTGCAAAAACAGTTAAACTTTTGTGTTGAATAAAGAAAAAAACAAAAACCCACAAAATAACCCCTGCTCCCTTCCCTCCACATTTCCTTTGAACCATTAGAGATTGTATTTGCCACCTTCATCCTCTCGTCTGTATCTGGGGAAAGGTGGCTGCAGCTTGAGAGCAGCTGTCCTCAACAATGACAGTAACCAAGTAACAAGAGGCCACTTCAATCATTTCAAGTGCCCCAGAAGCATGACATCAAAAAGAAGGTCTTAAAAATACAAGTGTGGGTTATTCCACTGTTCAGAAGGATTCATCAAATCCCTAGAGGCAGGCCCATGGGACAGTCATTTAGAGCCTCTGAACCATGCTTTCTTTGACCTTCCCACCAAAGAACAGAATGGCACAATCATGAAGAGCTTACAGAGAGGCTACAGGATTTTTGAGCATCAGCTAACATGAGTGCTTTTATTTTGTGGTCACCCAGTTAGATGTTTGATAGCGGTAAATATAACTGATCTGAGCAGGTCATAGCTAGAGTTATTTATGAATCCAAACCGAGGTCTTTACATGATATCACAATAGCAAAAAATTATTCCCCTTGATCCTTAAGTCAAGGCTGGCATAACTTGCAACCTTGCACTGTGAAGAGGCAACCCCAACCCCTGGTGCAATGGAAACCTGCTTCCCAGGGAGACTCTTGGAGCACCAGGGAACCTTTGCACTTTACCTCTGTACAGAAGGGCGTAAGCTGGGGATGCACCACAGGCTGAACATACATGTGAAAGGTGGATTCAATCTCCATCGTCCTACCATTCAGCTTCAGGATAGGGAATTCGATGATTTCCTGAAGAGGGCAAAGAGAAAAGCAGCTGTTCATTTAAAACAAACAAAAAATGAAGCTGGAAATTATCCTGCCTAGCAACCTGGCTGTAAAAAGAGCCCAAACAAATAGTCCCAAACAAACAGTCCCAAACAAATACAAGCCTAACATGAAGCTCTGCACCACAAAGGGTGGTGAGTGGTGCTGGAGCACAGAGCACATCCAACACCATGAGCAGGGAGGAGGATGGTGCTAACGTTCACAGTAGCTGGGAGGGACAGCAGGAAAGTCCCTGTGCTCAGCACTGCAACTGGAAACGTGGCAGGC